TGGGAAATCACCATCTGCGTGGTATTCCGCTCTTAGTGGGGTCCCCCAAGGCTCGGCTCTTGGTCCATTGCTCTTTGTGGATTATGTGAACGATTTGCCCGGTCAACTGTGCAGCCCATCCCTCATGTATGCGGATGATATCAAAATCGGGCGTGCAATAGAGGATCCAAATGATCGAAACTCTTTTCAAGTGGATTTGAACAACCCGGCTCAGTGAGCGGAAACCTGGGCTCTTGCAGTCAACACCGCAAAGTGTGTTCACCTGCACTTGGGGTGTACTGACTCAGAGGTAGTTTACAACGTCCAGGGAACCACGGTGCGCAGAACGTCGTGCGAAAGAGACCTGGGAGTTATGGTTACGTCATCACGGACCGGATAAAACACCGATCGGGTCTGTGCCAGCCTATGGAACATTCTGGGGCTATTTGGCGGTCTTTCAACCGGCTCGCGATGGATGCTTTCAGACCGCTGCAACCTTCCCATGTAAGACCAAGACTTCAGTTGCGGGAACTTCAGTCAGTTGATTTTTCTTTAGTCTACCAACTGTCATGGAGGTCAACAATACTCTGGAATTCCCTTCCAGTGACCGTGGTGGAGGAGAAGACGTTGCTTCAAATGGTGTTTCGATAAGCACCTGAAGTCGTTATGGAGGAACGAACGCTAGAGATCGGACCTTCGATCGAGCGGTGATGGGGCTTGCTCTCTGCTCTCAATAATGAAGAATGAAGGCATACCGAAAAAGAGCATTTGTACGAAAGCAGAGCCAGATAAATCACGAAACCAGGGACGGTTGTATTGTGATAACCTGCAACCAAAAAAAAGAGATGTGAAAGCGTCAGCAAGCGTGCGAAAGTCTAAAGCAAGCATGCGTTGACCAAAGAGGTGGTTGTAACTTCCAAAACGGTTCTTTCCGATTCGACCGTAGCCCGAGCGCAATTGACTATTCTACGGTCGTTCTGTATCGCGTCCCTGAGACCGTTGAGCAACGCGTAGCGAGATACGGACCCCGAAGTCAGAACGATATTGATCCGCAATGCGTATAGTATAGTTTATTTCATTAGGTGAGTCAACGAACAACGTACCCGAACAATGCGACACAGTCGCCATACAGCCGAAAAGTGGTTTCAAACAAATGGGTAGAGACCTGTTTGGTCAATCAAGGGATTCTATTCACGAAACGTGAATAGCCAGTGATCAAAGTCAGGTATGCACTCGTAAAGAGCAAGACAACGAATGAGGCCACAAAGCTAGTGACGGGGCATATAAGGATCGGGGCAGTGGCACACCAAACCACGTTGATGAAGAGAACACGAGTGACACGGGCGGGATCAATAGGTAGCTATACAAGATCATTGGACACGAGAATAATTCATCAAACAATCATAGACATTGACTAATTCCAGGGATCACGTGGTGACCAAGGAAAAATCAGTAGTGACTGGAGAGAGTGCGTACACATAGGATCGGAAAAGGGGAAATTGGGAGGGGGAACAACAGTGGTCTCGCCTTGGGCTGAGAAGAGGGATTGCCTTCAAGCATTAGTTTCTACAGTGGTCTTGGTGTGGTAAAGCAATGAGATGCAAAGTAGGGTGGGTGCATGTAGAATGGGAGTTGGTTAGTATTACTACAAAGGTGCTTCAACCAAAGCACATCGCACCATCTTTAACTCTGGTACCAAGGAGTTTCCTCATGTGACGCGGCAACTGGGACGGGGTGCATTCGCCAATTTCGAAATCACCGAACAACTCGTCCAATCGGCGTTCATCCGACGCAGCTGTGCGTGTCATTAAAGCTTCCTTTAGTTGAGTGCGAAGCTAATCGACGTTGACGGCTGTCGATAAATCTTCTTACGGATCTCAAATAGCGCTCGACCTCCTATTGTCTCGTTGCCTGAGGTAAACAAAAACACTCGTGGTGGTCGTAGACGTTTACTGGTGTATCATGGTACTAGAAGGTATCAAATACGTGCCAAAGTGATGATTAAGGAATGCAAGCAAATAAATGCAGTAGCAAAGCGATTGTGTCACACGTGTCGCGTGGGTTTGAACACCTGAGTAGAAAACCGTGCTCAGTAAAAAAGCCGAAGTAAAAGAAAGAAATATCACGGTTGGCGTTGGAGTTGACTGTGAAGAAAATGTTCTTCTATTTCTTTTGTTCATGAATGATTTAGCAGAATGTACCAGCTCACCATGCTTCATTTTCGCTGATGATGTGAAGGTGGTTGGATCTAGTGGAATATCAAACGTAGAAGATGATATCGCAAAGGTGGTCAAGTGGGATCTGCCACTAAATGCAACAGAGTCAGTTGCCCTCTAGGACCCGGGAACCATTAAAGGCGATAGATGATTGTGCGTTGTGTTGAAGGTATGCGGAGAAAACATAAAGAGAGGATGTACGCGCTCGGTCTTTTTCACTAGAAAAGAGGAGATTGAGTGGAGCCCTCATCGAAGTATTTAAGATTAAGAGAAATTTGCTGGATTTAGATCCGGGGTCTCCGTTCACTGAGGCTCCCCACCAAGTAATGCGTGGTCATGAACTCAAACTTATGAAACAGTTTTCTAGGCTAAACCTGCGAGCGCATTTGTTTAGCAATAGGGTAGTGGATAATTGGAATAAACTACCGTCTGAGCTGGTCAACTGATTAAAGTCTTTAAAAGAGATCTGGACGCCAGATGGTTGGAGGCTTTCCCTAACATAGAACGTTAAGGGCATTACTTGCTTTTGTGTAATAT